ATCCTGTTACCATGGTTCCGAATAGGTAGATATCTTCAGCACTCAGGCTCACCCGAGCCCAAACTTCTCATTGAGAAAGGGGTGTCAATTGCATTTAGTTGATCCAATCCATAATTCCTCTTTTAGGTTTTAGAGAACAGACTGAGAGAGAGTGTTCCAGGGAAAAGTAAAAAAAAAACACGAGACAAGGACATAAGAGGCTAAGCAGGGAAGCTAAGGGAGAGGAGGAGGAGAGGAGAAAAGTGTGACCACCTTTGTCAAGAGCAAGAGCGGTCGCTCTGTTCTGATCAATACAGCCACGTCCGTCCTCTCACTTCCTCCAGGTGATAAAGCATGGCAGTTATTGGTTCCATCTCTGGTGTTAATGATGAGAAAGCGTGAGAGAGCTCAGCCTCGGTCAGGTTTTCACTTAAACGACAGCTGTTCCTCCCTACAGACTCATTAGTGTACACTGTGGAGTCTGAGGGCACAACATGTGCTTAGCTTGCAAGAAGATAAGACATAAAGGCTCGATATGTAAGAGATTGCAGAGATTTTGATTTCTCTCTTTAAACTGAATATATAAATAAACTCTCTTAAACCTTAATCTCAGGGTTCGCTCTGCTCAGTGTGCAGCAGAAGAAGGATTTGTTTGACAGAACAGCATGAAGGACAGTTTTAGATTCACACAAAATGAGAAAGTCTTGGAGACATTTCCATGATCATTAGGTTCAAACAGTTGTATATAAGTAAGTTATTGGGAGCACCGAGGAAGATCAGCCCTCGTGAGTCAGCAGGACCAGGTCACATCTCTGGGTGGTCTTCAGCCTGTCCCTGCTTGTTCTTGACTATAGTTCTGCACTCAACGCCGTCGTTCCATAAACTGTCTACACACTGCGCCCCAGTCTGCCAGGATTGGTAACTTCAGCTTAGATTACTACAAACATGGGCTCTCCACCTACCTGAGCAGGGAGGAACATTTAACACCACACAGCGGGTTTCGAGGGGCCATCAGTGGCTGCATTTACGGAGGAGACTGAGGAGCTTCTACAGCTGCATGGTTGAGGCCATCCTGACCAGCTGCATCACCGTGTGGTGCAGTAACACCACTGCACCTGCACAGAGTGCTGAAGACTGCCAAAAACATCATTAGGACTCCAGCACCCTCTCTGCAGAGGATCTACCATCAGTCCCATTGGATAAATATGTACATTTACCCTGCAGCTCAGATTCTTCTTATTTTATTTCTATCTTCGATTTATATTGTATTTCTTTTATTGTACTTAATCTAGTTCTTTATAATTGTTTCTGTTGTTTTTAAATGATCATTTATTATAGTTATCAGTTTTATACATGCATCTTTCTGTGTTGGCACCAAAAGAAGAATTTCATTCACGTGTTTCTGTGAATATGACAATAAAAAACCTGAAGGACTACCCTCAGACTGACAGCGAGACGGTTGAAACTTGAACAGGACAATGATCAGAGCTGGTTTTGGGATAAAGCAGGGTGAACACCAGGTCCGACCCAAAAGACCAACCAATTCAAATGAACTGTGAAGAAGAGTGGCACAAACCCAGTTCTAATGAGGGTGCATGTAGATGACATTCATGCTTACGATGAGTGGATGTGAACTTCTGACAGCAGCTTCATTCAAATATTATGTTGAGTTGTGTTTGCTTGTTTCATGACCACCAGAATAGAAACCAGAGTTAAAGCAGTTTGATTCACAACATGAACATGTCGTCCTCTGTCTGCTAAAAGCAGCACTTCTAAAAGTGACACATCAGTTTTACAGGGGGAATTTCTCAGCTTTTGATTATTCAATGTGAAGATGCATGTGTAAAATGATTCATGTGTTGTACCTCTAAAGCCTACAAAAACTATCACACTTAAATAGCTCTATTAAAAAAGAACAACCGCACGTTTCACAGAAAGAAAAGTTGTTTTTGTTCAGCATCACAGATGATCTCCTCCGTTGTTTCTCCACAGGACCCAATCCATGCTCCAGAATGTCCTGTGATTTCATGTGTTTGCTCAACCCGACTGGTGCCAGGTGCACCTGTCCAGAGGGGAAGGTGCTGGTGAACGGCACCTGCAATGATGTCAACGTCTCAGGTATCTTAATATAACTGTTGACAGTAATATTGACTTTGAATATATAACAATGAGCAGCTTTCTAAAGCGATGTGTTTAGTGAACATGCTGGTGATAACGGCATGCAGTCTGAGGTTCACACTTCTGTGTGTGTTGCTGTCTCGCATTAGCTCCATAACACTGTTAAATAGCATGTGACTGTGCACATGGCGCTGCAGTAAATGATACAAACTTTGCTGCTGTGAAGGTGAACTGTGCCGCCCCCCCTGTGAGAATGGAGGCCGCTGCTTAGCCAATGAGAAAGGAGACTGGAGGTGCTACTGCTGGCCTGACTTTTCAGGGGAGCGTTGTGAGGTCAACCACTGCACAGACTACTGCCTAAACGGAGGCACCTGCATGGGCTCGCCACTGGGTACGTCTGTGCTTTCAAAAACTCTTTACTGCATGATTCCTTTGGACGAGTCACATGTTTGACGTGTTTCTGAGTTGCTGCACGAAGAATAATTCATATGAACGTTTATGCTGCAGGATTCTTTATGTTCTTTGTTTACCAGTTTTGATTTAAACCCCTGCTTGATGGCACGCAGACACATTTGTCTTCATTTAAAGTGATGCAGCTTCCTCTCTTCAGGTCAGATTCGGCTGCATTACTAAAGCCAGTTGAGCAGTTTTCTCATTGATGCAGCTCTGAAAGGAGCCTCCAGCCTTCATGTGAAGCTCTCCTTTGAGGAGCTCTCCTGAGATGTCAGCAGTGAAACTGAACCAGAACGTACAGTATGGGCTCAAAATGTGGTCATAAATATTTTGTACTTGTAAATCAGTTTTGTATGTGTAAACAGAATTTGTGTGTGTGCATGCTTAAAAAAGATTTGTGTGTGGACTTAGCCAAAAAAAACGCTGCAAGTTACAAGTACGAATTCTGACCCTATTTTTCTTCCTTTCATCTGATTGGTCGATGTCATGTCAATCACAAATGTAACTGTCCAATCAGAGAACAGATGGGTTTGGCTGTCGGAGGGACACTTTTTTGAACTGCAGGTCCTTGAAGGGTGATACAGTTTGAAGCTGGAGGATCTCTATATAAATATCCGATAGCAGTTAGGGGACCTAACTTTCAGCAGCTGTTGAAAGGATAAAGTTGTGCTATATCAGTGGTTACAAATACATTATTACTTTAGGATTATTTTAATACAAACACAAAAAACGCAGCGCTGTTGAAAAGGCTGTGGAAGTCCCTGTATTAAACATGTAGACCTGTGACACAAAAATCACTAAACTTGGACGACCACAGACTGTTTTCCTTCGTGGTGATGAAGGAAAACGCTGGGTTGGCGTGTAAAAGGGCATTTACTCCCTTCAAAGACCTGCAGTTAAAAAAAAGCACCCCTCCGACGGCCAAACCCATCTGTTCTCTGATTGGATTGTTACATTTGTGATTGACATGACATTGACCAATCAGATGAAAGGAAGAAAAATAGGGTCAAAATTCGTACTTGTAACTTGCAGGGGTTTTTTGGTCCACACACAAATTCTGTTTACACATACAAATCCTGATTTACAAGTACAAAATATTTATGACCACAGTTTGAGCCCATACGTACAGACCTATTAAATAAGCTTTCCTGGATTTAAAAGCCTTTGTATATCACGCCCACATCATAGTAGTTAAGTTGCTTTTAAAAAAAGATACAGATAAAAAATGAAACATATTTATTGGCCTAATGTAGAAAGAAAGGTGTGACAAAGGTGTGGCGTGATTTCTCATTACAGATCTTTATTCAAGTGGTTTAAATTCATTAAATATTTATTAATTACATGGATTTAATAACCTAACAGGAAATAAATGTTTGTTTACAAATACAGTATTTTTGTCGTTTTCTTACAACTTCAGCAGCTGGTAAAATTAAAACTCTGTAACAGAGATGAAGTAGTGAATATGACATTGTTTTGGGTCTTTCATGGTTAATATTGATGATCGGACCCGTTTATGCTGCTTACATAGTGAAGAGATTTTCCTTTTTTAGTGGGCAGAGGAAAATGTGTGCTGTATTTAACTGTGTGCTGTTTTACTGCATTGACCACACGTCTCATGCAAGCATCGCTCTAAATGACTGAGTGGAAAAAGAGGGATGGATTGTTGTCAGACAGGAGCTTTGGTGATAAAAAAGTAAACTCAGTCAGTTTGGAGGCTGGATTTGTTCCCAGTCTCATCCTTAAAAACACAAGAAGGTGTCATTGAATTTCTGCCTTCAGATTCGACTGGTTTACCAGGATCTTAATGGAACTTTTGGCAGCAGCACGTTTGAAACAAACCTGTCTCTGTGACATGAAAGTAAAGAACTTCATACTGTGTCAAATAAAAAAAGTAAATATATCCTAACAGTTGTGGATCATAGTTGTCTAAACACATTTGTGTAACTTGTACAAGACTTTTTGTCTGCCCAGCTGGTTGTGTATGATCCAGCACAGTTACTGTCCGCTATTTTATTATTATTTCTTTATTTCTTCGCCGTCAGGCTGGTTGGTTTCAGGCAGGTCTTTCCTTTTTGATTCTCGACTGCTCTCATTATACAAAACTTCTCCCTGAAGCCAAACATCCAAAACGTAAAGTGTTTTCTTTAAAGTGATGTCAACTCAACGATTCGTGCTCCCGCCCATTAGCAGGAAAGTAGGGACGTGGATGCAGTTAAAGGATGTAGTTTGGATAACGACGTGAAGATGACTCGAATCTGCAGTTCAGAAAGCATGGCTCAGGTTCTCTGACTGAAGCAATTTGCATATTTTTCTCAGGCTGTTGATAGAAATTTTCTGCATAGAATTGTAAACAATCTTTTTTGAGTTCTGGGGCCTCCTTTTTCCATCTGTTCATGTAGCTGCACTCTCCTAGTTCTGGACAACAATCTGTAACCTGTTTGTTTACAGGAAAACATGTTATTGTCAGTAAGCAGCTAGATTTTGTGTCATGTTGGTGCTGCTGCAGATAAAGTCTTTGAGTAGGATTGATAACCTTTAACCTCCCTTCTGTCCCTGTGCCCTCCACTCTTCACTCTAGTGTGTGTTTTTAAGGCAGAGTTTGTTTCCTGTTTTACTTGGATAGTTGGGTTTCTCCTGTTTCTTGTTTCAGGTTATATCCCCTCCCTGTCTTATAGTCTTGAGTGCTTTCAGCTGTGCTGTGTTCCCCTTCTGTTTCTAACCACCAATTAATCCTCATTATTGTCATTTCCACCATGTGCAGTTGTACAGCACACAGTGAAGCACCCTGGTGCTACATATAACAGACAGTCAACACAGGACTGCATGAAGTGCAAGTGTGCAAAAACTGCAAAACACGAATGAAAAGCAGTGAAACACAGAGCAGAACAGAACAATACAGATACAAGTGTGTGTGTGTGTGTGTGTGTGTGTGTGTGTGTGTGTGTGTGTGTGTGTGTGTGTGTGTGTGACGTACGGTTTGGGGGAAGAAGCTGTTCCTCAGTCGGGCAGTGAGGGCCGGGATGCTGCAGTACTTCTTTCCAGAAGGCAGCT